GCAGCTTGGAATATTTATACAACGCTGGTCATGGCTCTTCTGTCCGTTCCTGGCTTGGAATGGGGGTGCTTGGGCTGGGGAGGGGCCCTGGGGGCACAGAGGCTGTGTCTGGGGTCACGGCAGGGACCTCTGCATCCCGGGGTGTGCGTGGAAGGGATGGAGGTGATGGATGGGGGTCCCTTGGTGTCCTGGAGGGACACTGAAATCCTGGACTCTGTTAGGGAAAGGACGTGGTGACACTGGGGAGTGGCACTTGGGGACCAGTCCAGTGCGACCTCCGACACACTGAGATCTGGAGCCCAGACCTCAGAAAAAGTCAGAATTTTGCCCCTCAAAAAGATCTTTGTACCCCAAAAAAGCCTCTTTTTCTTAGAAAGGGCTTCTGCCCCTCAAAAAAAGCCTTTTCTTTCCTCCAAAAGCAGTCTTTTTTCCTCAAAAAAAGGCCTTTCTTTCCAAAAAAAGCCCATTTCCCCCAATGAAAAGCACCTCTTTTTCCTCAAAGCACCAGTTTTATTCCAAAAAGCCCTGTTGCTGTAAAGAGAACTTTTTTCCCAAAAAAATTACTTCTTACCCCAAAGTTTCTTTTTTCTCAAAAAAAAAATTATTTTCACAAAAAAAAAAACACTTTCCCCCCTAGTTTTCCCCATTAAACCCTTTTTTGACTTTATTTTTCTCACCAAAACCCATGTTTTTAGTCTCCAAAAAGTCCTTTTTTTCCAAAAGTAAGTCGGGTTTTAAAACAAACTAACAACTTTTTTCAATAAATGCTTTTTCCCCAAAACCACACTTTCTTTTGCTCAAGAAAAAAGTTTTTTTTTCTTTCAAGAAAAGCGTCTTTTCCAAAAAACCCTCCGTATTTCCAAAAAAAACCCCTTTTTCCCAAACTCATTTTTTCTTGTAGAATGTAGGGAATTTCTTTGTAGAGCTCTGAAGTCCATTTTCTGCCTTGTCTTTTTCCTGTAAATTTTGTTCTTGTAAAAAGCACTTTTTTTACCAGAAAGCCTATATTTATTTCCAATAAAAAGCCCTTTTTTCCCCAAAGCTTTTTCTTAACAAAGCCCACTAAAAAAAAATAAAAATAAAAATAAAAAACCCTTTTTTTCCCCCCAAAAAACGTTTGGCAAATTAAAAAAAAAAAATCCAGAAACTGTCTTTTTATAGAAAATCTTATTTTTTCCAAAAAAAAAAAAATAAAAAAAATCAAAATAAAAAAACCCCAAACTTTTTTAAGAAAGAAGTATTTTCCCTAAAAGCGCCGGGATTGGTGCGGAGCGGTGCCGGGCAGGCCGGATATGATCCTGCTCCGCTCACATCAGAAAATATCCGGCCCCATTGTTCGGGGGAGCCGCGCCGTGTCCGTGCTTTGTTCCCTCGGGACCCCTTTGGATCCACATAAATATTTGGAGAGCCCGAACGCGCGGGAAGGAGGACGAGGAATTTTTTCTCTCCTCTCACCCCCCCCCCCCCCCCC